TATCCAATTGGAAATAGCCTTGGTTTATGGCTACACYAAATTCAATCACAACAGAAAGTATTCTGCATTCTTTTGTGTAGTGGGGTTTATCATCATAAAAAAAAAAAGGATGGAAATATAAGGCTTGCAAGATCAGAGTACAAAAGAGTTAGCTAAAGAAAAACATTGCTTTTAAAGAGAAGTGTCTATGTAGAGAACCTCACTTTCTATGCCTCACAAAAAAAAGTTTGAGATCTTAGATTGGTTTGATTATGAGCATGTAATTCACCCCCGTCAAAGAAGGGATGGTGTAATTGCTCATGCTGCTGTCTCTAAAGAGGACACTGTTCCCTGCCTCTTTTTATATTGTCCCATATATCATAGACACCATTCTTTGATCTGCCAGTCTGCACAGACATCTATGTGGAGCTGTCAAAGACGCTGTGGAATTAATTGCAGAAACAACAGGTGAGAAAAATYAGCATAAATAAAAAGGTGACAAAGGAGCTGCTTCCCTGAACTTGATTCTTCCAGGTGCACAAATCAAAGAGGAAAATTAGATACTCAGGTACTCCTTGAATTCAAGTACACACTAGGTAACAAAACTAAAGAAAGGGATGGTTAGTATTAAATCTATCACCTTTCTTTTACTAGTGCACGACAATACAGGCTGGCAAGAGTCCCTTCTAACTTGTCTTAGCTGAAAGACAATAATCAATCCCAGATGACTGAGGCAGGAGAAAAAAGAGACATTTCAGGTCCCAAAATCAAAAATTCTTTTTTGATCTAAATCCCAAATCAAAACTTCTTCATGACTGGAAGCAGTCATCTCATGCATGGGAAAAGGGAATTTTCACACAGCCTATCATTCATCCCGAAGATGTAGTCAACCAATATTTGTTTTCTTGCATTTTAGTTTTTCCCAACAACTTAACTACATTCTTTAGAGGAAAAAAATGATGAAAGTTTTATTCTCCTACTAACTATGTTTGACTGTTCAATTAGTGGTGAATTCTCCAATTCAGAAAAACAAACAAAACTAAAATCAGCTTAAGCATTTTGCATAACAATACAGAAATGCATACATATCAAAAATTTAAAATTTCCAGTTAAAACTTAAAATTTGCAGTTAAAACTTAAAATTTGCAAATTGCATTTGCAGAGTTTTATACAGCAAATATCCTCTTCATATCAATACTACTTTTCCAGATCTGCTATTTTGCTTCTGCTATAGTCTGAAGTACTGACATGTTGGACACACTAAGAGGAAATAGTCTGAAAGCACAAAATTTGATTTAATAACTAGTCTAATTTATTAAATGATCACTTCATTACGGAGCATTTTCCCCATCCTATATGAAAKTTGGGTTTACTTATAACTTAAAGCATGGATTAAGATCTTGTTTCCAAAACAATATTTATATACTTGATATTTAGTTTTGCTGATTGATTTTATTCAATCATTTTCACTTTTATTTCACCATGTAATACAACATGATGACCTGTTACAGACTTCATATTTCCTGGCTGATGTTTCTGAAGTTTAGATTAATAAATATATTTATAACAACATATTTATGCTACCACTTTGGAATTACATTTAACATTCTTCAYGCAACAGTACACATTTATCTACAACAGTTTCACTTTCCCTCTGTAAAATACTGAGTTCCCAGGACTTCTATAAGAAGCACCAGAATTTTAGGAAATTAATTTCTCACCCACCTACTGTTTTCCCAGGATGGTTATAAAAGGCAAATCAAGCTACAAAACCAATGGAAAAATTAGACACAACTGTTTAAATTATTATTTGCCCTTCCCATGCCTTAAACTCATGACAAATGATAAATCACTTTTATTCTGTGACTGAATCCAATTAACACATCTATAAATAAAGAGGAATTACTAATGAGTTTGGAGGTTTAAATGCTAATAAAATGGAGGTAGAAACCTGATCTAAAACCACATTTTCAAGTTGTATATGCAACACTGAGATGTAAAACTTTTGTATTTGGTCATTTACACAGAAGTGACTTAACTAATATGTTATTTCTGCAATACTGGCCAGTGTCTAATGTTTTAATTGTAATTACAGATTTTTCAAATTCTTTATTAAACACTGGACCATTTTGTTCACATCTTGACCCTTTTGTTCACAGAGCATTTGTTGATCTTCTGTAGGAGTATTTTGAGGAGCAACTAGGATAGAACTGTAACAGACTGTCGTTTTTACCAGAATGATAAGAATTCTCCTTCAGATTAAGATCTCCAAGATTTGATCTTAAAGAGGTTATTAAATAGGTTCCAAGAACCATCAACTTGCTCATTTAATTGGGTCAAAATTCTCTCCTCCTTTTCCTAATTAAGGGAGTAGATAGTGCAGCATAAGGATAAAATTATGTGCTGCATAGATTCCCATACAAAAATCAGTTCTGAGTGGGAGCCAATCTCCATTATATAATTTTTTTTCATTGATGTTGCAATTATGTTGCAATTCTCCCTGCATCTAGCATGAAATAATGGTGGAACAGCGGTTAAATTTAAAATAACTCATTATATATGTAATACATTAAAACACACAGAGCACCCAGAAATCATTAACTTTGCCCACCAAAGGCAAGAAGTGACAATCACGTGACCAAAGCATTTTTTTAGTATCAACTGTGAAAAAAGTTGGGGGGAGAGGGGGTTGTTTGTTAGTCTGTTGGGAAGTGGCATCTCAACGAACCTGTCCCTCATGTACGTGGCTTGTTGCGTTTGAGGCCCCAGTCCCGGGAAGCACCTAGAAGCTTCCAGAAACACCTGGAAGCTTCTAGAAGTGCCTGGAAGCTTCTAGAAGCACCTGGAAGCTTCCAGAAGCACCTTCACTCCAGCATGGCGCGTTCCTCAGCAAGGTCACCTGCCTGTGAACAACAAGCGACCCGCACACCCTGCATCCCGTCACGTCTCTCTGCCCAGGAAATGCAGTTCAGCGCGCACTGTGGCTACGCAGACGGAAAATCAAACGCGCTCTAAGGCATCAGAGCCGGCCTCTCTTATTTTTTCTGTTTGACTGACACAGACGGGCTTGTGAGCTATTTTCTACCTTCTTCATTTAAACATTTTTTTWAAATTCCTGCATATTAAATGATGTTCACAAACAGATCTGTTAGATGAAAATCCAAAATTCTCTCCCTCCCCCCCAAAAAAGGAAAAATTTGAGGCTAGCCCTACATAGCCTACCAAATTATTTTCTTGCTCCCTCTCATATATAAACACCTCTATGAATTAAGCAAACTGTTTTGCCTAAAAAAAGAGAAGAAAATGCAAATTGCTATCCCTATTTCTATTTTTAACACCACAATGACAAGTGCCATGTAAGCAGGAAGGGAGGGAAGTAGAGAACAACAACACTGCAGGTCCCAACACAGCTGCGATCCCAGGGAGGGGGAAGTAAATGACCTGCCCATCCACCTAGGTGCTCACTTTGTGCCTATCACTACCGTGTCCCAATGCCATTTATAATCCTGCAGACCTGATGCCCTGTAACAAATCTACTGGCCAGTAAGACACCTTTACACAAAGGATGCCCTTCCTAGAGTAACTGAAATACTTTTGAAAGCACCTTCCAGTCCAGAGTTCAAATGCCCTCTTTGTGAACAACCTTGAGAAATGAAAATAGGGTTGCTGCTGGGATTTAAAAAATCAGAAAATTTTTACATATCATGGCTCAAATACTAAAAAACATCATTCAAGTACTCCTRCATTTAAGAATCATAGAATCACAGAATTATTATGGTTGGAAAAGACCTTTATGATCATCGAGTCCAGCCATAAACCCTTCAACAGTATACCTATGTTAAACCACGTCCCAAGTGCATCTACGTGATTCTTAAATGCTGCCAGGGAAGGTGATTCCATCTCTTCCCTGGGAAGCCTGTTCCAATGTTTGACCACTCTTTCCATGCAGAAATTTTTCCTAATATCCAACTTGAACCACCCCTGGTGCAGCTTGATGCCATTTCATCTTGCCTTGGACAACATACCAACGTCCACCTAACTACAATCTCCCTTTAGGAAGTTGTAGAGAGCGATAARGTCTTCCCTGACACTCCTTCAGACTAAATAATCCCAGCTTCCTCAGCAGAGGGAACTGGAAAGATMGCTTTCCCAAGCTTCTGACATTAGCTATTCTTTAGGTAAAAATTTCTATTTTGTTTTCTCTTTTTGCCAGAAGGTTCTGGCAGAATGTTCCAAATTGACTTGTGTTTATCTTATCACAGAATCACACAACCACAGAATGTTCAAGGCTGGAAGGGACCTCTAGAGATTATCTAGTCCAACCCCCCTGCTCCAGCAGGGACACCCAGAGCATGAAGCACAGGGCGGCATCCAGGYGGGTTTGGGAGACCTCCGGAGAAGGAGACTCCACAGCCTCCCTGGGCAGCCTGTGCCAGGGCTCTGTCACCCTCATAGTCGAGAAGTTCCTCCTCACACAGAGATGGAACTTCCTGTGTTTCAACTTACACCCATTGCCCCTTGTCCTGTCACTGGCCACCACTGAGAAGAGCTTGGCCCCATCCTYCCTACATTCTCCCTTCATGAACTATACACTTTAATCAGATCCCCTCTCAGCCTTCTCTTCTCCAAGCTAAACAGGCCCAACTCACTCAGTCTCTCCTCATACGAGAAGAGAAATTATCATTTCACTGTTCTTCTAAATCAGCACATTCTTACTCTTTAAAAACTAACAAATGTAGTTTTGGGTGCTAGCATATTGAGACTTTAAAAAAATACTAAGAGCAGCATGAATACTTTATACACAACATTCCCTCATTCTTGCCTCCCCATAATAACTGCTGGACTCGAATTGCCTCTGCACTTGTGTCTCCCCCCTCTACATTAGGTACTTTTAGAAGGCAACAATTGTATTGTGAAGACCATGACCTACAATGTTTCAAAGTCTTAAAAAGCAATATAATTTAAAACCCAGAAACAAGACATTTTAACATATCACCATCATTTTGACAGAACCGTCTGACCAACTGAAAGCAGTTTTCTCCCTTGGAGCAGTTTTGAAATCATGTCTAGAAGGATCACTAATTCCACAGGTATCCAAGCTGAAAAAAGAAAAGAAAAATAAATTGCTTGCACCATTTCTTTTAGACTAGAGCAAAAGGTTATTAYGGTTCTTATTAAATTTACTTTTAGCACTTTTAATCAGATAACTGAATCCTAGAGAAGCATGTGGCATGTCTGATCTATGTTGCTAATCATCAAGATAAATCATTTTTTCCAGTTTCATATGATCCCCAAAATTACTCCAGGAAATGACTTGTATTCAGAATTTAGAAGGTATAGAACTAGTTCCATGATAAGCAACATTCACAAAAATTCATAAAAGACAACTGTAAAAGAAAATCAAATTTCTGAAAAAGTGAGCTTCAGAGTGTATGAATGATATAAATGAGAATTCAAACTTTAGCTTCTGATGCTAACTGAAGAACTACAAGTTAGTACAGTCTGTTCCTTACAACATATCTAGGAATTGCCAGCTTTTTCAATGTCTATGAAACAAATACTACCAGAAGTATCTGAGATTTGTTAGCTGTCCCTCTACTGCATTTCAGAGGCCTTACCCAGATTAGGGCAAGAAGACATTAAATTACTCAAGAGAAGTCCATAAAAAAGGGCCTCCTCAGAACTGCTGTTCACCCTTAGCAGAGAAGGAAGCTCTCCAAAGGTTTGCAAGCAGCTTTTGCTTCCCCATTCTAGCTTTTTCAGAATCACAGTCTCTGCAGTTTTTTAAAAGGTGGTATTTTAGCAATATGGTCTTTCTTCAGACTTTTTGGTATCCCGTAAGTCAGTAGACATACTTGTATATGGCAGAAATTTACCACATATACCAGTGGATCGGCACATTTTGCCTGTACATCTTTAAGGCCACATCTGCTCTAAACATCTATGCCAGCCAGCATGGCAATTCTCTGCTCCTGAGCCCAACCTCACAGTGTGGTTACATTCACCCTGCTGAATATTCCACCTTTCCAAACAGCAGCAGCTCTAGCAAAAAATTACTGGGAATTGATCCTGCTCATGGTAACTATACAGTCTCATGTAGGGTTTTTTTGGTTTTTTTTTTTTTTGAAAAAGAGAGAGAGGATGAGTTGCACCAAAATCGTGCTTAGACCTATTCACACAATTTAGCAATACAAATGTTTGAGTTCTGATGCCTGTGCTCAACTGCAGTTTAATTTACAAGTACAGACACAGCCTTCATGTCAAGAGTCTGTTCCCCAGCCCTTGTGACCACAGCCTGGGCTCCCTACTCTGTTCTCTAGATCTGCTGAGCTTAAACATGCCAGCTTTGGGAACACTCTTTCTCTGCAAAAGAGAGATCCAAGTTAGCCTGAGATCTGCCAGCTGGGTCCTTGCTCTCAAAGATACAGATGTCTGTAAGGGGAAACGCAAGCACAGAGTTCTGGAAAGCTTAACTGCTTTTATTAACCTTCCCATGTCATGGCTAAAACCTTCAAACTCCACACTCTCCTGATAAGCCAGGCTCAAGGGGTGTATTAACTACATTGCAGGAACCAGAAATATGCCCTCTGYTGAGACACAACTGAGAGCATTTATTTTGTAGAGGCCCTTATGAAACCACGAGCCACAGTTTGATCCCCAGAGAGAAACACTACGCACAAGAAGGAGGGGAAACCAGACATATGGCCTCTACTGTGGCTTGACTGAAAAAAAAAAGGATAAAATACCAGCTGGAATTAGCAGAGATGGAAAGTAGCAGAGGAAAAGGCGGGTATTAGGTGCGTTTGCCCAGTGATTTTGGTGTAACACAATATTCTGCACCCAGGCATGTCTGTTTTGCTCTAACAAAACAGCTGCCCCCTGCATCAGCCTGGAATTTGCTGCCTCCRAGTCATCTATCGACCACCTCGTGAATGGCCAAGGAGCTCTAAGTGTGTCGCTGGCAGCTCCTCCATTTGCCTGCCTGTGTTATTTCTTAGGTCATCTGCTCATTTCCCACCAACTGATGCAACATACCAGGGAAGGCTTCTGATTATTTTATATGAAGAGGCCTTTGGGACACTTGGTGAGTGCTGGAGCCATGGCCAAAAAGAATGAAAAACGAAGCGTGAGCGAGGGAAAGCTTCAAAACATGGACAGCAGAATAGTTGGTAGCTCAGCTGGAATGAGGCAGAGGCCTCGTTTCCACTGAATTCACCATGGCGTATTCATTCAGTATTAGTTCTGTCTCTTTCAGTTTCTTTTTTTTTTCATTTTTATTATTATTAATAACTAAATACTGAACAATTTTTTGCTGGAAAAAAAAAAAGAAATGAAGAAAGCAACAAGGTGAAGAAATGAGGATACCTGCAACTCTAGAAAGAGGCACCAGATTTTTATAGGTATGAAGGAGAGAGGGGTGTTTTGGTGGAGGTAAATGTGAGTAAAAAAAAATGATATGGGGATAGACACTATGGATACACTTAATTTAAGAGCAGAAGAAAGCTATTCATGTTTGCAATCCATTTTTTWAATAAATTTAGAAATCTGTCTAGGTATCTTCTTACTCATGAAAGAGCTAGAACCAAAAGCTTGTTCAGATATTAGCTAACAAGCTACTGAATTCTGTGTTAGTATTTGCTCATTCAGGAACACGTATGAGGACACTGCTATGATGTAACACATTTATCTGTTTTCTATGATAGTCCTAACTAGTTATCCATGCATGGAGTTTTATATCTCAGTATCACCAGGATCATTTTGTTTCAGGTAGTTAAAAATAAAAGGCTGTAGGACAACTGACCTCAGGTAAGATGCTTTGTCTATGCAGTGGTGACTGAAACTTCCAGAATTTTAAAAACTGTTAACAAACAGTCAGATGATAAGGCAATCATTTGACTTCCATTTAACTCATTAAATCAACCACCACAGGGTGAGAAGAGACATTAACTACTCATTTGATAGACAGAYAGATAGATACATAGATACATAGATGGTTATAAAATGATATATGGTGTCCCAAAAGCTAGGATCACCTACAGATGTCCAGTGCAGACATCACTGAAGCAATTTTGTGGATGCTTAATTCAGTAAATTCCAAGCTTTTTACTTGGATGTTTTTACAGAATCACAGAATCACAGAATATTCAAGGTTGGAAGGGACCTCTAGAGATCATCTAGTCCAACCTTCCTGCTCAAGCTGGGACACCCAGAGCACAGGGCACAGGGCGGCATCCAGGAGGGTTTTGAAGACCTCCAGACAAGGAGACTCCACAACCTCCCTGGGCAGCCTGTTCCTGGGCTCTGGCACCCTCACAGTCAAGAAGTTCCTCCTCACCTGGAGACGGAACTTCCTGTGCTCCAGCTTATGGCCATTACCCCTCGTCCTATCGCTGGCCACCAGTGAGAACAGCTTGTCCCCTTCCTCCCTGCATTCTCCCTTCCTGAACTTATACATGTTAATCATATCCCCTCTGAGCCTTCTCTTCTCCAGAGAAAACAGGCCCAGCTCACTCAGTCTCTCCTCATATGAGAGATGTTCCATTCCCTTAATCATCCGGGTTGCCCTTCTCTGGWCCCTCTCSAGAAGCTCCACATCCCTCTTGTACCGGGGAGCCCAGTTTTTAGTTTCAGCAATGAGAGCTGACAAACCTCTGCTGTACTTACAGGTAAAAAGTTGTTCAAAACATATGCAATGTATAAATATGTAGCCTATAGATAGGTTTTAAGCAGCTTTACTCATAGCTGCAGCAGAGGTTTTTCCTTCCTCCTCTACCTGTGGAGCAGCAACAGCTTCACTTGTCTGTCCACAAAACCTCATACAAAAATATGGATGCATGAACTGCCCAAGAGGTGTCCAAGGGCCTCCCATTTCCTGAACCTGCCCTGTACACATGGCCAAAGCAAAACCTATGGCAAGTTCCGTAGCTGATTCACTGCCTACGTACACAAATACTCCACGGCCCATGTGTGCACCCTGTGATGGACTGTGCATGGATTTCACAGTAAGTTTGAAGCTGTACATGAATATGTGGCTAATTACTTATAAACAGCAGTTATTTGTCCAAAATTGCCAGACGTCTAGCAAAAGAAACAGTCATTTGTCTGGAACACCAAGGCACCCAGCAGTCCAGTGAGGACCTCTGGATATCCCAAACAGACCAATTCCCTCCGCCCTCTCTGCCCCTGTGACAAAGTTTTGTCATATTACATCAAAGCAATCCATGGAAGCTACGACTGTTTCCTTTTAGTAGGAACGTTAAAATTTAAAAAGATGCTTTTCTTTTTCTTCCCAATCCACATCAAAGGGAGTTGTGCCAAGAGAGCACACAACTGCCATGAGGCAACTTCTGGTAAGAAGAAGATTTAAACCCATTACATTTTAATGTTACATTGTAAGTTCTTTTTTAAGTTAATTTAAGTTCTCTGGGAAGAGAAAAGTCTCACCTTGTTATAATTCCTAGCACAATAAGCTTTAGCTCTTGGATTCCTGCATAACGGCAGTGAGAGGTTTTTCAGACTAAACAGTTTGGACCGAAGAGGCACAAAACCTTTGATGAATGGTTGAAGAACCCACTGGTTCAATCAGRTACTAACTTGTTAGTTAGTTATGTAGCTATGTAAACTAAAGTTTACATAAACTTTAAGATTAAAGTTTTAAGATTAAAACACAGTACGTTTCAGAAGCACTTGATCTGATATTTACATGTTTTATGCTGCTAGAACTCTAAAGGAAAAAATGTTTTTCTCTAAAAATTAAATGTTAAATGCATAATATATATATTACTAGAAGAATTATGGCAATATACTCTTCCCCATCACACAAAAATTATAATTAGAAGGTAGTCATTTCTAATCACAGCATTGGATTAAAAATTGCTTGTGCGTGTTTTTTCACTGTTATAGTCACACTTCATAAGCAACAACTCAAGTTCCTTGTTGCCAGACTCAAGAAGTTAAGAGAAACACACACATCCATCCACACACTATATACCTTAATTCTCCCTATTCTACTTCCTTTAAAACTTTTTTCCAATTTCTCACACAGATCCCCTGTAATTTTTCACTGTTATCTATACCACACTAGCATGAACACTTCTTTGCCTGCATCTAAGCCAGCTTTTCTTTTGGTTATTCTTTTTTTCCTATACTGAACTATCAAGACTGCAATACTGACTACAGTAACCTAGTCTCCACTATAGACTTAGAGGTGTATATAAACAGAATACATATTTTTATGCCTGATGTTTATCAGAGCTCTGAGAGCAGACGGGAGCTATCAGCAGTCATCATCTTGCCCTTCATCGGGGAACGGGGCCGTGTCTTTTTCTTGTGTCACTCACATGGTAAGAAGAAAGCCTGGCTGTCACTCTCCAGCCCTGCACCTTTGCAGAAAAGCAGACAGAGGTTTCACAAAACCCACATATCACTGAAAGAATAAACCCTATATTTGTCAAAACTTATTCTCCTAGACAATATAAACAGGAGGAACTTCAGAGGACAGGATTAAGACTTCCCGACACTAGTACATGAACTTATGGAGCAAATGCTTAAAGGGCATCTGGGGGGGTTACACCAGCTCTCATTTCTGAGGCTCAAGGAGAGCAATGWCTTCCCTTTGCTTACCCTTCGAAACCTTGGAAAAAGTCCCCAGTAGCATTTCTCACAAAGTCACAAATAGACATACCAGTTCTCTTAAACTCTACCTGTTCTTCTGTAAAGAGAAGATTCGTTTCTGAGGGGTAGTGGATCCTGAATCAGGCTTCCAAATAGTTCTGATTGACAGAATAAACTAAAGAGCTCCCCGCTCTCCTGAAGGAATGCAGATGTACTTCCCTTGCAAGTCTCTATTACAGACATACAAGAGAAAACTGTAATGAAAACAGAACTTTTGGGGAAAAAAAAATAGTCTAAATATGTGGTAGCTTCTTTAGTGTCTTCTTCATGTTGAAACATATCCTTTGGAGCTGATTTGCAAAAGTGTTCAGGCTTGAAGGGAGATTTTTGAAAGGACAGATATGAAGTCTCATTAGACGCTTAAGAGAGCTCAGTAAAGACTCTACTTGGATATTTAAGTTCCTAAATAAAGATTAACCTTTTGTCCTTGTTTCTAGGACAAACAAGTGAATAAAACTCAGAGAAAGTTGAGGAAGATTAATACTGCTGGTTAGGAAATGGACATTCCTACTTCTGTCTCCAGGTGCATCTCTTCTGCATCTTCTCTATTTTCTTCTTCTTGATAGAGGAGCAAGTACAAGATCAGAGTGAGAAGCCATGTGTGTAATAAGCAGCATTCCGTTAAGACATTTGCTAGACTGCTAGAACCAGTAAATAAAATAAAGAACAAGAAAACAAAAACCACAGTTGTTTCTGCAAGCACTTCATACATCCATGCGGCATCTATGGCACTTAATTCACAGAGATATTTATATGTTATTTGCTTTTAGTGCGCTAGGATTAAGATCAAGTCTGTGCCAATGATGTTTCCTACAAACTAAATCATTTCTCTATATAAATGCTAAATACTCAAGTGTAAGAAAAAACTTACCACACAGGAAGGGCGCTATCTACCAGGTCAGACCAAAAGTCCATCTAATCCCACAATCCAGCTTCAGTAGAAGTCAGCAGAAGAGGCTGTGTAAGGAAATCATGTCAGCTTGGCAAGTGTCTCTAGCCCTAGCCCTTCACTCTGCACAAGCTCCTGTTCTGAGGATGCAAAACAAGACTGGGCTCCTATTTTTTCTCTCCTTTAGGAAATGCAAACTGTATTAGCAGTGTTCAAAGAAGATCAAGTTGAAGAGGCTGACATCACTAATCAAAGCTTACTAGGAAGCCTTTGCCCTATCAAAAAAAAAGTGACACATTTAGCAAAAGTGACATATTTAGCAATATTTTATTCCAATTTGCCATCAAAGGCTTGGGGAAATGAGAGATTCCCTACACAACATTCCTGCTTCTGCTACCAAGCAGCAAGAAAAACTGTGGCCAGGAGTGAGAAGGGGAGGAAAAGARGGGGAAAGTGGAGAGTTGTGGGACCTTCCATCTTATGATCCTATCCTATGAAGCGTGGAGCTCTTTCAAGAAAAGCCCGAGAGCAGCTGCTTTCTGAGATATATGCCTGAGTGTTGATGAGCAGAGAGGACAAGTCTTCCTTCTCCAGGCGCTGCGCTTCTCTACTTGCCTCCCTCAACGATCCTTCCCTTTGCATTGCCTCCCCCTTCTCCAGGCCAACCTTCTACCTTAAGCGAGCTGTGAGATCCAAGCAAGCCAGCTCAGCTATTTCACTGAGGCACGAAGGGCAGGGGGGCCTGCGACCCTCAGCGTGCAGGCAAGGCCCCTCCACCAGCTCCGAGAGGGTATTAGCTGTATCTGAAATGTCACTGAAAGCTCTTGCTATTACAGGGGGGAAAGCTGCCAAGTTAAAAATAGAAGCTGCCGTTCTGCTTACAGCTGTGCGAGGCATCTCACTGATGGGCTGCCTTTTATCTCTTTTATATTTTATTGAAAAGGATGGATCCCTTAAAAAAAACCACAATTGTAAAATGTTACCTATCTCAGAGCACCTAAACCTGCAGTGCTGGCTGAGGACAGCATTTAAAAGCAACCAAGTATATTGCAAGCCATGTGCTCATCCCTAATAGCTCGGCAGAGAGCACCGTGATGAATCTGCCACTGCTTTTCCTGAGCGTGGCAGAAAAAGGGATGGCTGGAGAGCTACAGAGGTCCCTCCAACAGCTGTTCCTCACAGTTGCTCAGCCACTACACTGGGACTGCTCTGCTGGAGTTTGCTGCTCTCAGAGCATCRGGTTTCCTCTATGTAATAGAGGTCTATATATATGTGGTGTAATCAAGTAAGTCCCACCCACTCATCTCTAATATCAGCTGCTCCCTAGTAAGAGATAAGGACTTGATGAGAGCCTCCAAAATCACACATCGCTTTGCTGCTTGGCCTTAATATGCATGGGCTATATATTATTAGAAATATCTGAAAGACAAAACATCACTAAGATGGAAAACAGGTTCAACACACTTGAGCTTTGCCTATTGTAACATGTGCCTTCTGAGAGAAAAGAGACAGTTTTACAAATTGCATTTACACAGCATTTAATTTTTCAGAATGCAAGAGCCAAGTACGCTTTTTCAACACCCACGTAACCGAGGAACAACTACTTCCTAGGCACTTGCCATTCACTTCATTTGCAAAGGGTCAATTAAGAATATTCATGCATGCGTAGGAAAGACTTCAAAGTCCCTGCACGCTGCTGAGCTGCAGCACCTGGTCAGCACCATGTGCAAAGAGTAACCAGCTCGAGGGCTCCTTCCTGGTACATGAGGCTGTAATGGTCCTTTTCTGAGATCAAAAGACAACTCACAGGGGACAGCGGAACCTCCAGACACATCCAGCGTGCACTGATCTCCCAGCAGGTCACACACATACAGCCTGCTGTCTTTAATGGTGTACCGGTCGCTGATGCACATATATAACACTTGTTAATACTAATGAGAGCACCGAGAAGCTCTTGAGAACAAAGGGAGAGCAGCGCCCCAAGGGACACGCGTTCACTCCCCGCGAAAGCAACTTGAGCTCCCTGAACTGCAACGCCAAAAACCCTGGAAAGAAGATGAAACATCCACGCACTCCTGTTGGAGCGCAGCCATCTTGCAGCCTGCCTTACATAGATCCTAATAAGAGCTTCTGAAAAGGCTTCAAAGAGGTTACAGTGTACTTTTTAATTAGCTATTTGTTGAAGATAGACTGGAGTTCCTTTGAAATTCAACCATGTGATAAAGGGACTAGCACAGTCTGTCTGAGGTGCTAAGTAAACAATGTATGTATGGTGCTCTGGATCTTCACTTCATATGGATTTTTTTTTAGCAGAGCAATATCTTCTCTCAGAATATGTTCTCTTAGGGTAGGATCTCACCCAGGACTCCACATAGGACCAGGTTAAACACAGCAAAGTCCAGATTATTTCATTTAAACACAAAATAATACAAAATAAAACCTTGTCAAACCCATCTATTACATTGGGAGTCACTGCAATGAGAGCAAAAATACAAATGCAGCAGCTGTAAGAGTGGGCCTGTATAGGATAGTTTACTGCTTTTGACACTGTCTTATCTTGAAATTGAATTTCCATTTATGTCTAAAAACTATGTGGTCCAAGAAAACATTACCTACACACCTCAGAATTTCCGTTTTGTCAGAGGATTAAGATCCATTGATCTCCGAAGGCTGCTCGTTTTAGAGATGAAAGACATATTCCAGATGGTATCACAAACCGGAGAGCAGCCCATGAAAGTGATTTACTGCTCTGAGCTGAACATAGCACTGCCAGATCTCCAAGTTCATGAGACTAYGATGAGCTTGGGGAGAAAAGAATTAAAATATTTTACCTCATCCTAGGCAATTTCTTTTACCCAGACACATTTAGCATCTATCTCCTCATTACATTCATCACGCTGTGCTCGAGCAGCTTCTAGAATCACTTGTGATTACCCAAACACGCATCTTGTAGCCTTGCAGGCGGCCGCTCCGGGCTCCTCCTCTCCACTCTGCAGTTTTTATGAATGACTTGCAATCACAGACAGGGGACGGCTGCCAACTGCCCACTCAGCCCTCTCTCCTCTTCCCTGCACGTACATAGGAGGCAAGCAAACAAGCGCCATGCCTGCAAATGAGCCTCCAGCACCCTTCACAATGTACGGCATTCAGCTCGCAAAACGGGAACTAAATGTTCTTCCGGATACTTGGAGTATAGAAATTAAACATTAAAAGCTTATGCAACGTTTTTCTCTCTCTTTTTTTTTTTTTTTAAACCAAATAACTTTTCAGGCATTTAATCAAAGTGGAATTGTCTTTTTCTGAATGCTTCATTGCTTTAGCCACAGAAAGGAAAACTAGAATTAAAGAACCCTCACCTGCTTCCAGCAAACTGAGACCCATCTGGGGCCAAAATAAGAAATGTCAGTTGTTTTATAATACTATATTGATAATGCTTTAACATGAAAGATGCTTTCTATCCAAAACTCACAGTTACTTTTATACCACTAATTTCTAATTTCATTGATACATGAAAACAATCAGTACAATTTTGCTCATTTATTACATTGAGAATGCCCTATAAAGATTGTAAAGTGCTGTAACAGTCAACACCATAGAGAAATCAATCTAAATCTGTGGCTGTAAGCGGGAAGAAAAAAATCCACATAGGGGAAACATTTATATTACAGATTAGTCACTAAGGYCGAATGTGAATCAGAATGTAGCTTATTCTATGCTCAGACATTACCCTGTTTACAACATAAAATAAAGGCCACGTTAGAGCAAAACAAGCTCTGTTGCACCCGGTGCAGTTGAAGATGCATTTGTAGTACTAGTACTGCAGACCAGTACTGCCATTGCAAGCAACAGATCCAAGGCTGTGTAATGAGTTTGTGGGGTTTGAGGGCTGGGTTTGGTCAGCCTTCCTCTGAATGTAGGCAGGAAGGGGCCAAGCTCTTCTCTGTGGTGGCCAGTGGCAGGACAAGGGGCAGTGGGTATAAATTAAAACCCAGGCAGTTCCATCTCCACRTGAGGAGAAACTTCTTCCCTGTGAGGGTGCCAGAGCCCTGGCACAGGCTGCCCAGGGAGGCTGTGGAGTCTCCTTCTCTGGAGATCTTCCCAACGCACCTGGATGCCGCCCTGTGCCCCGTGCTCTGGGTGTCCCTGCTGGAGCAGGGKKTTGGACTAGTTGATCTCTAGAGGTCCCTTCCAGCCTCAACCATTCTGTGATTCTGTGACCTGTCTACAGCTGTGTTTCCCTTGCTTTGGCTGTAACAGCAACTTCTCTAACTGACCAGGTGACACTATCACAGAATCTGAATGACTTGGGGAGGAACAAATCAGACAATTGGAGACACAGAATGGCTGAGGTTGGCAGGGACCTCTGGAGATCATGTAGTCCAGGGCCCCTGCTCTAGCAGCATAATTTCTGTTCATGTTCGTATGGTAACCACCATGGTCTTACACTTCACCAAAGATGCAGCATAGAGGACAACAGGTTGGTACAATAACTGAAGTCTTGAGAAGTGGCCACACGGCAGCGCAGAAGAGCACAGCGAGAGATGGGGCACGGGCTCGGCAGTGGGGACTGTGTGTTCATAAGCAACTCAGCATTGGTCAGTTAAAGAAATGGAGACCTGCAGCTGCACAAAACTGATTTTAGGGGTAGCAAAGGAAGAGTGTCTAACAGACCTAAAAGGCACTGTATATAGTAAATTCAAATATAAGACAGAACTGAAGACCAATGAAAATAGAGCAAGGTCTAAAAGGTTGTTAGCAAACAAACAAAAAAGGGAACCTGAGTCAAAGAAGGACCCATCATCATCATATTCCTCCTGACCAAAGAGTTCAGATAATGAACAAGGAAAGGTAAAAAGTGAGAAGATCTATTTCTTAACAATACTGCTACAGAACCCAGAGAAGTTAGTACAGACCCAAGTCCTCCTGAAGAAAAACAAAAGCTGATTTTGCCCTGCTCTTAAGGATCTTCAGCATTCTGCAGTTACATTCTAAGAAACCRAGTGCTTACAGAGGATGTTAAACAGACAGGCTGAAAACAAGTTATAGCCAATTACGTGAATATTTTGTGTTTAGAATAGTTAACAAAAAAACTGCTTCCAAACAGCAGATTCRAAAAATACAGCTCTTGGAATCCCTTCACTGAGCATTACTAAAACAGGAAAAAAAAAATAGGTAGGTCAGAAAAACTCTGTCAGAAGAGACAGCATAACAGTGTGAATGCTTGTGCAGCCTTGGAGTTCAGATTCAGCTAAAACCAACAGAAACAGTGACTGGTAGGAGCCGAGCACAATATGTTATCATCATATTGTTAGCATCATATGTTATCATACAAGCCATAGCTTTGAATATATGTAAAATAACAAAACAAGATACTTTTAGTAGCTTGATACTGAAGCCTAACTAGCCTACRGAAGCCTATGAATTAGGCCTATGGATTGGCCTAATTCAAAACAAGATTCAAGAACTGAGTAAAAATGCAGTATAACACAAGAGAAATTTATGCACTTTTTCAGCACAATTGCTACTAAATGATCACGAATAACTGAGGTAAAGATTGAAAAAAAAAATAAAGGGACTTTATCAGTACCTTTACAACATCAGCAAGTTACATTTTAAGTCATTTCATGCACTAATATGCACTCTTAATTTAAAACGGTGTTCATAACTAGACAGCAGCACAATATACAGGATGTAAATCCCATTTTCTGCGCACTTTTCCCAATTGCATTGTGCTAAATGAAACGCAAATTCATGTTCTCTTCATCTCAGCATATGAATTTTGCAAGTCCAAAATAAAATGCACAGTGTGACAAGGTGACAGAAGTGATTTTAAAATTTTTGTCTTAATCTCAACTTCAGCGGAAACATGAATCATCGCAAAATGGATCAGGAGGTTTAAGCGAACTCTTCCTCACATGCCATAGCCTAAAGGAAACAATTTTCTTTTCTCCTATTCCCAGTAAACATTGATATGCATAGCAAGTGTGAAGAGGTGCTAGATAGAGGAACTGATGCTGAATGATGAATTTAGCCTTTTCTTTACATCCTGAGAAACTGTACTAAACAAATAGAGGCGTTTTAGCAGCAAAAGACCAAAACCMAAAAAAAGCTTCCTTGCAAAACAAATGAAAATACAGCAACAAAAAATTCACATTGCATTTAGGGAAGATTGAACGGGTGTAAGTGAGGAAGGCCTGAAGATGAGCCATCCATCCCCGATCAGCAGTTTTCCTTCTCCAACAGCAAGAGCTAGTCCTTATTAGATAACTGCCTCTTACTACAAACTTTTCCCTGCTTATTTATATGACCATAACTTCTGCAAAGCTGCTATGGCTAAAGGTGCTGACACCTCAAGTTTTCTCACCACGTAGCAGCTCGCTGCCCTTTCATCCCCCTGCACTGCCATCCACCTGCAGGTATTTAGGCTCCAAGCACACGGGTGCTGCTTGCGAGCACGGCTCGGCTTCACTGGCTGGTTTCTAGGCCACATACCYAAGGGAGATGATCAACCACTAAGAGGCTAGTGAAGCAAGAGTTTCATAATGTGATAGCTGCAACCTTTTTGGTTTCTGCCACAACAAAAACTAACAAAACACTCAATGTGAGAACACCATTACTGAGGTTTGCAGCTCTCGTGGTCTTCCTTCAGCTTGAGGCGAGTCTACAGATCTCCAGTTGACACACATAGGCTTGACACAGGTACAAACAGCCAAGGCTGCTATCTGGAACAGCTGATGTGTCCCTAAATTTGTTTGCCTTTACCCAGCTGTGGCCCTGGTTATTCAGTATTTTCAGTAGTCAATACGATGGCTTAATATGCTCACACTATCGCTATTCATAGCATGAAGATCTCAGTAATTCCACTTTTTCTTTTGATCTGTTGTTTGTAGTTATTCTACTGTTGACAGGATTG